TGCGAGTGCGAAGCACAACTCAGGGTCAAAAGTGGAACGTGAAATTTGGATATGGTTTTGTAGTCAGATTTGCGAGAAAAACTTCAGCTACCCGTATTTCTCGACTGAGACGTCAGTGGGAGCTGTAATTTGTATGGCAAGGAGATTGAGCTACCCTTCATTCATATTAAGGGAATTTACGCCCAGAAACTTTGTAGTTATTAATATTTTGGTTATAATAGAAAATATTCATTTTTTGGTGACGTCACACACACATTAGTTAGCATGCATACGTCATAAGCTAGATACGTCACCTTTTCCTGGTAAGGCAAACTTTCCCGGCGGCGATTTTCATGGATAAACAAACACCACTGCTTTGCACATGGATGCCTTGCCCAAGCCAGGGCTACAAGAGCCGCATTGTTAGCATTGTATAATACTTAAATAAGGTACCTCTGCAAATGAATTATTCTTAATAGTTTTTTTTTTCTTATTTTAATTTATTTCTTCCGAAAGTGTACTTTCTATCACATATAATTCCACTGTCTTAGTTAGGCCTAGTCTTATACCTCATCGTCCCCCGCTACACAGTGTACATCAGCAGCCCCTCCCCCATACAGTACAGACGTTTGCTAGGTAACAACATGATTGCACCTTCCTTCCCAGGTGTTCATGTAACATTGACATAATTGTTAGCTAACCAATTGTGTGTATTTCTTTGTGAAAATGAGTACCGCGGCGTACTCATTTTCACAAAGCATTTACATCCCCTCTTGGAAAGAGGGATTCGAAATAATTGTCTCCATATCTTCCGGGAGCACTTAAATGTGAAATAATCATTTTACTACCCGACAAACTCCAAACTTTATTCATTCATTAGGCCTACATAATAGTTTCATATTGCTATACTATATACTCCAACATCACTTGCGCATGGTAACAACCAACTGACTGCAGACCATTTCGGTCACACATTAATCTCCATAACACAGCACCCCCTAGTTCCGTCACCTCTGGTTTTTATACATTCTATTAACATTTGGGTAAAAATTGCTGTCATAATAACAGCAACTGAGGTTTGTTGTTCCATGAAAATTACTTGCAACATAAAATTTTTACTGGAATATACATAACTGTATACTTTGTGGCAAACTCCTAAAATTTGAGACTTCTTTGGTACTGACCCTTTTGAGTTAGCCCCCAAGCATGATACATACAAATACAATGTAATATAATGCATAATCTAATAACCACTACTGCAAGTGAGATGATTGGAGCTGTAGTTTGGTGGTTAAAATTCTTGCCTTCTAATAGACTAACCACAAGTCCCTTATTAAAACTAACTCCAAAAAAACAGGCTCCCAGCAGGAGCGTGTGTCTATGCCCTATACTGCCTTACTATAAGTATCATATCCACATGAGATTCGGTTATTAGGAAATGTGTGGTGTTGTATTTTTTTATGACTTTTGTACAGTAAAAAGGCACTGAAGATGACACATGACCCATCATGCACCTCCACCGGATTTACCCTTTCAGCTATCTTCAACTACCAGACAACAACATAACAAAAAAAAAAAAAAAAAATAACTAGAAATAGAGTACAGTCACCTTTATTTTGTAATAATTGTCGTATATTGTAATACCTGTTGTATTTTGTATTACACCTTGTTGTATTTTGTTATACCTCTCATATTTTGTAATAAACCTAGTTGTATTTTGTAATAACAGAGATGTCGTATTTTGTATTAACTCTTGTTGTTTGGTGTGAGTATATTTTAGAATCGCACTTCAAAGCTATTTTTTCTATAGTGCTACAGTTTTTGAAATAGCCTCAGTGGTACCCTTGCTATTCTCCGTCTTGATAGGTTTGAACGCTCTTCTATTTATATGGATGGGCCCCATACCCAGACCTATTGTTTACATCAGATATGTGGATGACACTGGGGTTATCGTCAAAGACACTAATCACGCACATCTCCTCCTTGAACATATTAATGCTCAACATCCCACCATCAAGTTGGAGATGGAATTACCTGATGCAGATGGATTCCTACCAATACTCGATGTTAAACTTCGGATCAATTCAGATGGATCGATTTCCACCAAATTTTACACTAAAGCGGCTAACAATGGTATCATTCTGCATTACAAATCGCACCATTCCCTTTCTATTACAAAAGCAGTGGTTACCAATGAATACAATAGAATTGGTAAATTATGTACAGCAGAATTTATGGACGAAGGGATTGGGATTTTAAACCATAAACTTATGAACAATGGATATCCCCGCCACTGGTTGAACCCTCCCGCTCACACTGCGAATAAACCTCTGGGTTTTACCGAATTTAACTTCACCTTTAAAATTCCCTTTGTCAGCGATCAACTTAATACTCAGATACGGTTAGCCCTTAAGCGAAATAACATCAAAGCTAGAGTGGTTAATCCCCGTCCATACACCATTTCTCAATTTACTAAAGCTCGTAAGCCTAATTTTGGATGTATCCTTGCTAGATGTCTTTTAAAAAACAACATCTGCTCATCTTTTTGCGTGGTTTATAAGATTCATTGCCAGATTTGTCATCAAGAATATGTTGGTTCCACTATTAGGGCGCTTCACTTTAGGGTGATTGAACATCTTGCTTCGGCTCGAAAACACAGCACCACCTCTGCGCTCGGCGCGCACTTTGTTGAATCTCATCCTGCCGTGAAAGACCCTGATATCTTGGTTTCCATCGTCAGAAGAGCGCCTAAAGATGAATTGCGCCTTCGTGTGTTGGAAGCACAATGTATCAATCGCATTAGGCCCTCTATAAACCGTAAGAACGAGCTTAGTGACGCTTTCCTTATTACCTGATTTTTTTTCTTCTCAATACTTTCCAACACCTGTTAGCTTATTAGCACAGTATATAAGACCTGGCCTGCCTAATTCCTGCCTCAGTTGCTGATGTGTCGTTGATATGGCGAAATATTCAACACTATTCTTGTGGATTGGTATATTCACTCTTTAGGTCATTTAATACTATTCTCCTTTATCATTAACATGTTTTTATTTAATCCCTCAAAGACTGCGAAAGTATAGAAGAAAACAGGCATTTGATGTGTTATTACAAAATACGACAGCTCAGTTTTTTAACAAAATATAATAGACAGCTATTACAAACAGTGGCGTAGAAAAGTATTTTTGATTGGGGGGATGTTTGGTGTGTTAGCCAGTGTTGTAACAGGCGCGGGGGGGGGGGGGGGGTGTC